CCCTAACTAAGGCGACAACATTCAAAACATGACAATTGATGTAATTATATTCTAATAAAAAACAACATGCATAATAATAATACAACAATAATATCCAAAATTCTATTGTATAGCCCTATAGGCTTATCCGATCTAAACATGATTATTAACCGAATAATTCACATAATTTAGAAAATTATTCAAAAATACTAATTTCTAAACTATTTCTTAATTTTAAAATTAAAAAAATTATTATTTTATATATATTGAAAGAAAATATTATTATAATATTTGTCCGGGTCGAAAATAAAAAAAAAATATTTTTAAAAAAATTATAATATAATATTAACCGGGTCGGATCGGCGAATCCGGATCGGGTCATTGGATTAAGGTCTGGTCGGGACCGACCCAGATTCATGAAACCGACCTGAATTGATTGATTCGGGTCGGATTATCGGATTTGATTTGGGTATGACTGACCCGAGCCAATGAACCGATTTTGAATCGGGTTTGACCCGAACCGGGCCAGTTCAGCCGGATATCGCGCTTTAGACGTGGGGAGGCCGCAGACCGGACAAAATTCCAGTGATTTGCCGGTTGTTTCGTTCGGCCAATGGCTCCACTCTCTTCAGCATACCAAGCTGAAGAGAGCCCAGTGTCTGGTCGCCGGAGAGCCGACCAAAATGGTCGCCGGCCAATCCTTGATCGGAGTTCGTTAACCCAAACGCCAATCAGAGCTTAGTCGGCGAACCCAAGCCGAGTTTTGGCTTCTTTTGGGCCCTAATGACCGCCACAAGACCAACCCGAGCTAGCTCAGTTACCGTCCGACCACCTACCCTTTAGCAAAGCTCAAAAATAAATTGGCCCTATTGAGACATTTTAACAAATAGTTGGCATGCGTGAAGAAAACAGGGGAACTCAGGACTACTTCGGGGCCCCGGCAAGGTCTGGTGACCACAACTCACCTCCGAGGGTGACGTCTGAGTCGGGGGCAAGGACGGTATGGGTCAGGATTTGCGCAAAATGGCCGACGTAGGTCCCGGCCAACCTGCACACAGAAACAGGGGAAAACAAAGTACAAAGCGAGCTGAGAACTCTTACCGATCGGAGACGCATCTAGGGGGTTTGCCGGCGATGCTGATCGTTAGGGACGGTCGTCTAGCTTCCTCTTCGGAACCTGTAAATATTCAAGGCTCCCTCTCTTGCTCTCGGTTTTTCTCGGGATCTCTCAAATCTCTCTTCTCTATTTTTTGCTTCAAAAGTCCGACCCCTTTTCTCTCTCTTCCTCACCGGCTTATATAGGAGCCACTGGCCATCTGCCCCACCCCAAAAGTCGTCGCCTTAATGGCCTTGCATCGGCCTAGCCTGCGCCATGACTTTGGTGGCCATGGCTGCGCGGTGGAGCGGATAATCCGCATTTCCCAGGCGGCTGGTTGAGGCAAGGGAGAATAGAGGAGAAGGAAGAGAGAGGGAGAGAGGTTAGGCTGGTGGGGGAAAGAGAGCGGGCTGGGTCGGGCCCAGCTCGCGCGAAAGGAAAAAGAAGAAAAGGGAAGCAGGCTGGGCCCGCGGTGGGGAGGGGAAGGAAGGAAGAGGGCCGGATCGACCCGGTTTTGACCCGGTCCGACTTGAATTTTTTTTATTGATTTTTTTATTAACCTTTTTTTAATTATTTAAAAAATAAATACATTCTAATAATAAAATAAACACCTAAAGTCTACATGTCATGCAATTAAATAAAAATATTTTTGTTTTAGGAATAAAAAAAATTAATTTCTAGTTTTTGCATAATTAATTTTGGGCAAATCTGTCAACATGAAAATCTGTTGCAAAGTTACTAGAACTTTTTCATTATTAAAATTCATATGTGGGAGGGGAGTCTCCACTCTCCAAAATATTGAGTGCTTGACTAGTATCATATAGGATTTAAAGTAGTCCATTTATTAGTTGCCATGTGTACACACTGGGCCCCACTCTAACTTCATTAGACTCTTTTTTTCCTATAACTTGTTAGAATAATTAAATATTAAACTACACATTCATCTAACAGCTTAAACATTTAGAAAAATTTACTATGATCCCACAAAATCTCACATAGTATTAAAGCTAAAGGTCCTGAGTTCAATTATTCCAAGCCCTATTTGCCTCCCTAATTAAATATGTCCATGCTTAGTACTCAGCCAAAAAAAAAACTAGACTAAGTATGATGGAGAGTGTTAAAATAATTAAATATTAAACTACGCATTCATCTAACAACTTAAATTTTTAGAATAATTGACCACCCTTAATCTACTTCTCCTATTGGCTCTTGTAATTCAAAACCATCATAGACATTGGCTTGTTGTGAACCGTCTTGACTTGTTAGGACTGAAAAACTGCATTTCCTTATTGAAATTGATAACTTTGTTGCGAGGCCATAGCAATGTTGGTTTGGACAATTTTAGTGACCCTACTAGTAAGCTCGAAACGAAATAACTAGTCATCTGCAAACAAAAGATGAGAAATTTCAAAACAATTTCTATTTAAGGAAATGCCTATCGGGACATTATACGATTGCAGATTATATATAAGAGAAGCTGAAAAGGTCTCGGCGAAGGACATAACACATCAAATGAGAGAAGACCGCATCGTAGCATACCACAGAAAGGCTTGAAAGGGTGAGAGCGCGAGCCTTTTATCAAAAGCAAGAAAGAGACTGTGGAGAGAGATTACCAATTGAAGTAACAACAACGATCACTAAAGCCCAGCTCACCAAGAACGCCTAAAAGAAAAGTCCAGTCTTTTATCTTGGCCCTGGGAAGGCTCAGCTGCAGTTTGAAGACCCAAGGAGATGAAAATGGGCCCAAAGCTTTTTGCTTTTTCCCTTTCCTTCAGTAGAGGCTGTTCGATGTGTGAAAGTAGCATGTTGAATCTGTAAGGACAACCAATGCATGGTGGTTTCTTGCTGATGCACAAGGTATGCCTCATGATTATTACATTATTAGCTTTGGGATGAGAATCCCTTCCTGATAATGTATCTTGCTTTCTTTGTTGAAAGGTTTGCCAAAGAAGCATGAAGATCAAGAGATAAGTAAAGAGGAGGGATCAAGCAGAACACCAGCTCCGTGGCATAGATTCTATATCATTTTGATTGCCAAATCGATCACATTTTCATCCACAAAACAATAACAAGTAGACAAATTTCCTGGAACCTTGAAGGTTATAAATGGGAATAATTACCAAAAAAGTCATAAACCTATTATACGATGACCAATTCGGACATAAATATTTCAATTTGACCAATTTAATCTTAAATATTTTCACGATTTGCCAATATAATCCTTCTGGCTAATTTTAGCCGGAAATCATTGATATGGACACCGCCGTCCTATGTGGCACGGGCGAGGCCTGCAACCTTTGCACCCATCGCTCGGCGAGGGTTGTTGGCTTAGAGTTGGAAAAGACAGAGAAAGACGCACCTGTTTCATCGCAGAAAGGCGCCCACTCAAACTGGAGGTCGGGAGAGATAGCAGCTGTTTCATCGCAGCGAGGAATCAGGAAAGCACCACCAACCGTCCAAGGAGGGGACCATCCGCATAATATCCTGTGTAATAATCTCCTTTCTATTCATCTTCGGAAACTCAAAGAAATTTCTTCCTGGTAGTAACCGTGCTGTCCAATCATCTAGGAAAGCTCGAAGAAACTCCTCCGCAGTGCCCACAGCCCCTATTCCCACTCAAACATTTAGGCCATTCCTCCTAGAAAGCTCAAAGAAATTCCTCAGCGATATGTCCACCATTCTAACTTGAACTTATTGCTCATATGCATGATAAGTTCACTGGCACCTACTCTGGTCCAGCGAATTGGAGAGAGAGAGAGAGAGAGAAATTTTTTCTTGACCAAAAAAAAAAAATTGTCATCCAAAGGCGACAAAATTCGTACTTTGTCGCCATGGATTCAATCAAAGTTGGGATAGTTTTGAACCTAAGGCTTTTGCTGACCTTAGATTGAATCTAAAGCAACAAAATCATGGTTTTTGTTAATGATATTAGGTTATTTAGCTGATTTTACATATCTCTCTAATTTCTCAACTGTTTTTCTCGCCTTTGTCGCCTCAGATGAGGCCTAAAGTGAAATGGTTTTGTCCCGTTAGGTTTGGGCCTAAGCAACAAAATTTCAACTCACATTGAGATGGGAAAATTTTGAACCTACGGTGACAAAATAATTTTATCACCTTGGGGCGGTCCTAAAGCGACAAAAATGATTTTTTTTCATCGCTTTGGGGTATGACCTAAGGTGACAAACTGAGAATTTGGCCTTCTTTGGCAGACCCTAAGGTGACGAAACCGGGTAATTTGTTGCCTTACTTTTGGTGGGCTTTTTGGCCTTTCGTCAACCCTAAGGCGACAAAAATCATTCTTTTCGTCACCTTTGGGTGTGCCTAAAGTGACAAAAGTAACATTTTTTTCACTATTGGAATACCCTAAAACGACAAAATTGAATTCTTTTTTCCACGTTTAGTTTAATATGTTTTTCTACTTCGTCAACTGATACGACTCAAAAAAAAAAAAAAAACTAATCCGACTCGTGTAGTAATGTAAATATTTGTGACCACGTTAAATTTAGTGACAAGATGACAACGGTCTCTGGCTGTTGTTCCGTAGAATGTTCACTTGGCTGAAGAACTATCGAAGATGGTTCCCATTGCTACGTACTCGCCGGGGGAAGGCATAGAAGTCTGAAGTTACCATGTTCCACGAAGTATCATTGATGTGCAATGGTTTGGCTTTTGATGAAACGTGGAAGAAAAGATGGTTCGGAAAAGTAAAATGACATCGAAGATGGTTCTCATTGTTTTGTTTTTTTGCTTGATCTTTTTCCTTTCAATTTGCGTGTGGGAGAACAGAAACTTCAAAGAAATAGATCAATTTGACTTTTCGAAAACTATTTTCTGAAAAGAAATTCCTCCCACTTGAACTCATTGCTTATATGCACAAGTTCACTCGCAACAACTCTGTGTCCCCGGGAAAGATAGATAGATAAGCATGCATCCTAAAGTGTATGAGGCTGCACAGTCTGGAGACTTTGATTTGCTGAAGACAATAATTTCGGGAAATGGAGAGAACCTTTTCCACCAAACAACACCAAAGGAGAACAACATTCTTCACGTTGCGGCTCAATATAAGCAGGTAAATTTCATTGAAAACCTTCTCCAATTTCCATCAGGACCGTCCCTTCTTTGGCAGGGTAACTCCAAAGGAGATACTCCCCTACATATTGTTGCCACACTGGGAAGCTGCGAAGCAGTTCGAGTTTTCACTGATCTGGCAAAATCATTGCATTGGGCTGTTGAAAACAGACAAATTGACGCATGCAAAGAGCTACTTAGAAAGCCAAATTTGCATAAGGATACCGCATTGCACTATGCAGTAAGAGGAGGGCATGAATTGGTGGTGAAGTTGCTAATTGAAGAAGATCCTCAATTATGTGATATTACTAATGCTGCCAATGAGTCCCCGCTTTATCTCGCAGCACATCGAAGACGTTCAGATATCGTTGTGCTAATTTTAAATGCATTCTCGTTGTCATCTTGTCATAAGGGCCCTAAGGGACTGACAGCTCTACATGCTGCAGTGCTCTTCTCACTACCAAGTAAGTATCACAAGATTGTAAGCCAGTGAACCAATGGTGTGTTTGTTTGAGGGAAAGTATTTTCAGACTTTCATCTGTTTGGTTCATTGAAAATGATAAGTCAACCGAAAATACTTTCTAGTCAAGGAAAATATTCATGTATAAAATTAGAAAAGTGAATTCCCTAATCTAAAAAGGTGAAAACACTTTCCGGAATTGCTCCTCTTAACTCTTTTAATATTTTATTCTTTTCTTTTCTTTTTTCTTTTTTCTTTTTTTTCTTTATTTATCTTGTTTTCTTTCCCTCTGCCAAGGTCGAGGCTCGCCGGCAAGCTCGAGCTTGCCAAGATCTAATGAGTCTCAACCTCGCCGCCTCCTGACCTTGCGCCTCAACCTCGCCCGAGACCATTGAGGTCAGAGCTCGCTCGAGGCTCGCCTATGGTCGTCACTGACCGGTTGCGCGGTGGAAGGAGGAAAAAGAAAGAGAAAGAAAAGGAAAACGAAAAAGAAAAGAGAAAAAATAAAATTAAAAATTCAATTTTTAAAAAAAGAAAAGAGAAATAACAAATAATTAAAAATTCGATTTTTTTTAAAAAAATAACAAAATTATTAAAAATTTTGATTTTTTTTTCCTGAGATGAAGTCATGAGATTGAAATCATTTTCCGTTGAGATCCAAACATCAGAAAATGTTTTCAATCATATATCACCAAATAAATGAAAACTAACCGTAATCTTGGACCTTTATTATTGAGTTTTTCACAAAACAAACGTATCCTTAATTCCTATGATGGCGGTGGCAGCAACCACCATCACCATAACACCACTACCTCTTCCCTTGTCTCTCTCTCCTCTAGTTCGGTTTTTCTTTTTTCTCTTCTTTTCTTGTATTCTTCTTTGTTTTGATATTTTCTGCTTACGATTAATTGCTTTGCAGTATGGCATGGCATGCAATATATTTCCAGAAGATCAGGGTTTATATGCAAAATTTTTGAATTCTTGAGGGCAAATCATGACGACTTGAAAAAATGAGAGTGCAATGATTTTACCATTGAAAATGTACGAGGTGCTAAGTCCTCATTCAATATTGAAATTTCTATAAAATTGAGTTGGGCACGATTGTTCTGCAAAATGATTGGCATCTGAGTAAAAAGCATTGGTATTTTATTCTAGCCTTGACAGAGCATATGCCTTCATAAAAATAGGAGAAGCTTCTTCTCGATCAACTTTACGAATTTCTAACAATTTCGCTTGTCAAAAAGCAAAATTCACAAATTTCTGCATTATACTGGATTGAAGGTGGTCAGATTCACATGTGTTTCACTAGATAACTAGAGAAACTTCAGAATAACCATGACATATTCCTTGCTAGTACAGAGAAAAACGGGAGAGCTTCATGGGATGAAATACAATTTTAATATCTATGTCATGATGCCAAAAACAGTATAAAGCATGACATATTCCTGTTGTATTTGCAAAGGTTGGTGGAAAATCCTGGAGAAGAGACCGGAATTGATCAGAGAAGGAGATGAAATGGGTTGGACTCCTCTTCATTATGTCGCTTCCCTAGGCAAAGTCGAAGCAGTTCGACTACTCTTGCAACACGATACTTCTATGGCATACACTTTAGACAAAGAGGGGCAATCGGCTCTTCACATTGCAGCGTTTCTAGGCTACCGCCATGTCATTGACGAGATTGTTAGATCCTGTCCTGATGCTTGGGACATTATAAACTTCAAAGGCCAAACGGCTCTTCATGCTGCTGCAATCGGTGGACGAGTATTTGTAGTCAATTACATTCTCCGGATGCCAGGCCTCCTACATCTTCTCAACGAACAAGACACTAATGGAAACACGGCTTTGCATTTGACTGCGCTCCATAAAAAATACTTCACCATTTACAGACTTGGACGAGACAAGAGGGTAGACCGTTTCGCCACAAACAAGGATCATATGACTGCCCTTGACATTTTTTTGGCTCATGAGGAGGTATGCTTGCTTGAACCCTCACTCGTAGAGTAATTTCTTCAATAACGATTAGAAACTGGGCCCAGGTGATACTCGGCGCAAACAAACATCGGAGTCTTTTTGTGTCAACTTTGTTTTACTTGTTCAATTGTTTGAGCATATTGTCTATATCTTCAATTTTCGTAGCAAATAGTAGCATAGATAGCTTCGTTAAGTTTGACACACATTTGAAAAGGGGCTTGGAGTGAAGTGATTTCATACTTCATATCGAACCATAAATAAGGAATTTGGGCAGAATTGAACTTTGTGGTTGGGCAACAAATAAACAAAGCTTCATTACCTCCCACTTCACTTCACATTAGTCAACACACTAACTATTACATTAATAAGACAAAAATAAAAAGGCTTTTTTTATCCACTTAATCTATCAATAATGTTCCTACAACAAAACATCAACATCAATCCCCACAGCTTATTAATTTAAATACAATTTGATACAATAGTCAACAAGTCTAAATTAATACGCGATACAAAATATTTATGGTTCTTTCATATATCTAAGTTGGTATATAATGTTTCCACCTATTATTAACTAAATGTGTAGGGCACACATCTTCTTTCTTTCAAACTACCAATTAATCCATAAATTGGATGTGCACACAAACGATTTTTTGACAAAGTAAAACGTAAATTTTTTGGACTATTGAAAAAATTGTTAAAGCCGTATTTAAATACAATTTTTTCAATAGTCTAAAAATTGGTTAAGCCATATTTACGAGTATTGCGACAGTAACAAAAAGCTGTATCTAAAAAGTTGCATTCAAATTTTTTTATCTATAACAAAGTCATTAATTTGCATTGTCAAATAGGAACTTCATTTTACAAAACAATTATCTTGCCATTAGTTATTACTCTAAAATGTTAAACTTGAAGTCTTACAGTCTGAAATCATTAAAGTCATTCCCACATAAGAAAGCTCTCCTTAAAATCTTATTACATAAAAAAAACCCAAATATCGTATTAATTGCCAACAGTTAACTGCATATCATAAAAAATAATTTAAGTTTCAATATTTTTTTCAAATAACAAGGAATACTTTTAAGACAATTCACTTAATAAAGTAATATTCAATATTGGTTAATTCCGTTGTTTGGTTGATAAATATATATTATTTGTGTACAGTATAATGTTCAACGTTGGTAAATATGTGTTGTATGCTCAAAAGCTTCATTGAGTATAAATTTCAAATCCGTGCTACAAGCAAGTCTTCAACTAGTTCAAAAGTAATTTGTCTGTGTATCTTGAAAACAATGCAAAGCATTTTAGGTTGTGATCCTCTAAATTTAGGGGATAAGATAAAGCAAAAAAAAAAAATATGGAGAATAAATCTGGGTTGTCTAATGGCCCTTGTGCTGGGCCCTGGGGTGTCAAGCATTCAGGGGTAACTTTAAAATGTAAAATTAGCCATAGCTTTAAAGGATCCCAATCCAAAAAGTTTAGTTGCACCTTCTGACATTGAAACAACTACTCTGCCACATTCACAAGAAAGGATCAGAATATTTTGTACAATATTTGGCTGAAATCCTTGTGTTTCTTTTCTGCTCTCTGTCAAACAGTTTTTGAGGTAAAAGAGAGAACCTGCACTCTGCCCTATTTGAGAAAAATAGTTCAAATAATTCCTAGAGAAGAGCATACTCAAAACTGTAATTGTTTACTTTAGGATACTCTATTTACTGGTTTTATCTAAAATAGATGAATTGAATGAATTCTCCATAACGTTTTAGGACTTGCCACAAGCTCTATTCATTATAGATGCACTTTCAGTGTGTAAAGTGAGGGTCTTGAAGTATTTCGCTAGGAAAGACCACCCGTTTATTGATACATTCTGTACATTTTTAGGTCGGCTACAAAGCTGCAAAAGTCAAACATGTGTTGAAAGGATCTCTTGGAATGCCGTTTTGTCAAGACAGGGCTATGGAATGTGTCAAGAAGAGGTTAGACGAGCAAATTGTTGAGGGTCAACCAGCTGGGTTTATAACCACAGGAAGTATTACCGCCAAGACAGAAAATTTCTATTCATCAAAAAGAAGCATTATTGACCTTCAACTACTAGTGGCAGTACTAATAGCCACAGTGACCTTCGCCGCGGCCTTCACGATGCCTGGAGGTTATAACAACGACGGACCCAACCAAGGAATGGCGACTCTTGCAGGCAGGGCAGCTTTCAAAGCCTTTGTCATATCTAATACTACTGCATTCAGTTTCTCCATCCTGGCCTTGTTCTTACAATATGACACTATGCACGTGAACAATCGCCAACAGGCGAGATATGCCAACAGGGCGGGGGATTGCATTTACGTTGCGATACTTGGGATGGTGCTAGCCTTTGCTTGCGGTACATATGTGGTATTGACAAGTACCAGGATTGGACTCTTTCCTTTCGTAATGTCTGGATGTCTCATCATTATATACTCAATTGGTGCTTTCCTTGACCCCGAGGCTCGCTTCATACCGCAATGGAACCGTCCAAGGAGTTACTTCCGAAACTTATTGTTTGATTATGCGATATACAAGGAAAGCTGCTAATAAGTTGGGCCGATCCTCTAGTCCGGTGACCTTGTGCATGGGAAGTTTCCTTTTTGCTTTCAGCCGTCGAATTTGAGTAATTCGAACGTCATCTGTCAGAATTTGAAACCTGTCAACGTCGAGCCATCGGATCAAGCGCCAGCAAAATTGCCGTGCTACATATGACTGGAGCGCAGCAAAGGCCGACGTACGGAAGGAAAGTGTTAGAATTTGGGGTATTTTAATGATAAAATGCTCTTTGCAGCATTAATGGGTTTTATTTGTTTTTACCGTTCGTTGATTGCCATTACTTTTAACATCCATAAATTCCTTGAACATTCTTCAACGTTGGTAGATGTTTGAAGAAGTTTATGATGTTAATTCACAAAATCAAGTCGCTGGTTAGTAGTAAGTTACCAGTATTGCAAAGAATTTATTAGCATAAAATTGATTTGTAAGTTCCGACTTCTTTTAAATTAAGATTAATACCACAAAAAACTTCAAACTAATAGACATGTGGTAAATTTATCTCAAACTAATTTTTTGACCATTAAAAACCTCGAACTAGTACACCTATAACAAATTTACCCTCCATTAGTTTCAATTAAATTTTACCGTCAAACTAATAAGTTAGATGACATGTGGCAGTTGACGGGTGTACCAATTTGGAGTTTTATCCCTCCGTTTGTCACAGGTTTACCTATTTGTGATTTTTTATGGTATTAATTTAATTTAACGGGGGGTGAATTTATTACGAGTGTATCAGTTTGGGGTTTTTTATGGTTAAAAATTAGTTTGGGGTAAATTTATCACAAGTGTACCAGTTTGAGGTTTTTTGTGATTAAAAAATTAGTTCGGGGTAAATTTGTCACATGTGTACCAATTTGAGGTTTTTCATAGTATTAACCCTTTAAATTACACGGGTTGATAAGGTAGAGGTTAATAAATTACCGTCATCAACTGAATTGACTGACGTCAAATTGATTAGTAAGTTAACAACTTTTAAATTTTATAAGTAGATTGGTGAAAGGTTAGTAAGTTACCATCAAGCTAATGAATACACCAATGTCAAAAGACTTAGTAACTTACCAACGCCTTTGAAGTTTTACAAGTGGACACCGTTAAAAGTTGGTAAGGTAGTAATATTGTGATGCATTTACCAACGCCAAATTTCTCGAGTTTTACAAGTAGGTATGGATTGAGGTTAGTACCTTGCGGAAGAATGTGCTGTTTACTAGCATAAGTTGCCATTGAATTGGGACTAGCCTTCGACTTCTATGCGTCGCTCTGTAATGGCATAGTTGCGCATAATTGCAGGAAGTATCATAACATATTCAGCATCTATTGAGAGCAAGAGTCATGGCTGATGCAAGATCCTTCCTTTCCGATGATTTCAAAAGTTTCATAAGCCTTCATAACAGTGGGAATGCCATCTTTCTGTGTAATCTCAGAACTTTCAAGTCAATCTAATGAGTAACATCATCAAATTTTTAGATACACGAGGCCAAAGATGTATAACCATATCAACCTATAAAAATTCAAATACCCACTCATGCCAAAAACAATCATTTCGCTTCGTCTTTCCTGTTTGTGTGTGGAATATATGCATCACTTGCTATTGCACAGTGAGGGGCAGTGGTTGATCATCAAATAGCCTAACCTTTCATCGATACGAACCGTGAACCCATGGGGTCCAACTACGAGAAGCCATTCCTATGACACATTCTTCACTGAAGCTGCATTATCCACCACATAAGGTACCATATACTTTTTCGACCAAAGAAAAAGGTACTATATACTTGTGCATGTCAGCGAGAGAGACCTGGAGATGATTCCGAGAGTGTCGCAACCCTTCCAACACGTCTGAGGAAAGACAAGTTTAGAGATAATGCCTAGAGTGAAACGACGATTATTAAATGGCTTGGGTTCTCCCAAACCCTTACCTCGAGCAACATTAGGACTTACAATGTTTTAGTACAATTTAACCTACAAGAAGAAGTCCCCACTAGCCTATTAAGGTCATAAGCCAAGTGATATACGAGAAAATATCTCACTTCCTACGAAATTAGATGATCCAAGATCGAGGACTTGATTACACTAATTTCTAACTAGTGTTCTTTCGGTACCTTAACTTGATTGGTTTGTTACCCAAGAGATTCATGCGATCTTTTAACCATTTTAGTACCCTATGCCACTAAACGATGTCCATGCATGAGTGCAAAATCAAGGGTAAATAAACAATCTCAATTGATATGATAAAAGTAAAGTATAAGAGGTATACCCAATAAAGCATCAAGCAAAGAATACACATGAGCTCCTTATTAAGCTCTAGGACAGTAACTTCCATGAGCTAAATTCAAATTGAATCCAATTCCTCATCCCAAAGATCAATCTGCTAAAACTATAATATATCAAAGGTACTCACTAAAATCTTTAATTCTAGATTCTTCACTTAAAATTCGAATTAGGCTCACTCATCGAATTAAGCCCAAATTCCCTTAAAAACCTCATCAAATCCAAATTTACTAGAACCAGATTCACAGCCCAATCGTTTCTTAAAGACATTCTTGAACATAACCGCACTAAACCCGTCCCCATGACAAATGCATACTAAGCCCACACTACAACGGCGACGATTGACAACGAAGAGGCAGGAAAGGATTCAGAAGAAATCACTGAGAGAGAATGACTCCTGGACGCTCAAAAACCTCTCGAGTAGTTTCAACCGGGGCCTTCTGTTCTAGTTCCCTTTCGGTATGTACGTTAGTTGATGGGCCGGCGATGGCAAACCGATGGCGATTAACCGGTGGATGAGGATGACCGAGAAAAAGAAATTCAAAAGGAGTGCACTGAGGGAGTGCGTGTTATGATGATATTACACCACAATAATGACACATATCATAATATGTATTTTCATACATTGTGTTACGTCCATTTTTCTCATGTAAATGCAATTTTCCTTAGATCATCGACCTTTTGAAGTCAAATGCTCCATGATCAAATGATAATCATGAATCACTACAAAATGTAATTGTGGACCATGTCATGGATTTGCACTTCCTACACTATAAGATTGTAGAGGAGGAAGCCCGGTAAAGATAATGATTTCGTAATCCTCAGTATTACATTCAACATGGTTAATCATTCATATATAAGGCTTAGAAAATGTTTCAATCTGTTCTATGTTCTATGTCTTGGTTGACGGTACAAGATGCAATAAAAATAGGGTTAATACCATTAAAAATCCAAAACTAATACCGTATAACATATTTACCCCAAACTATTTTTCATCTCACAAAAAATCTCCAACTGGTTCCTCATTACATGTTTACCCCAAACTGGTGCCCTAATCCAAATCCAGCATCCATTAGTAGTTTAGGATATGATGTTGAGGGTAAATTTCGATTAGGTTACCAATTTTAGGATTTTTTGTGAGACGAAAATCAATTTGAGATAAATGTGTTGTGAGTTTTCGGTGAGACGAAAATTAGTTTGGATAAATGTGTGATGGGGATATAGATTTCGAATTTTTAATAACATAAACCTCAAAAAAAAAAACAGAACAGTTAATTCCAAGTCAATACCAATGTTACCGGAAACTAAATTATTCCAGTCCCCTGGTTTTTCATATATCTATGCGCGTGCAAGTTTCAAGAGAATTCTTAATTTTGGAATTGGTTTGAGCATGGGAAATAATTCTCAAAAGAATGGAACCTTTCAGAGTGCATGCTTTCTAAATCACAAGGACCCCGATCTAGCTTAAATACTTTACCACCATTTATCAGTTTCTATTTCAAAGAGCATTGGTGGGAAAAAAGAATGGTATAAATGTCATAACTTTCATATGATGCTTACTTTAGTGCCAAAACTTTTTTAGTGATAATTTGAGTGCCATATCGGGGGAAAAACAACCACTTAAGTGCCTTCGGCAACAAATTCCAGCAATTCATCTTACATAGCTTTTTTTTATAAAATTTTCATTCATACGTGGCTTTTTTTATAAAAAAGAAGTCCAGCCTGGGAATTTTTTCTTCCTAACATGGCAACGTAAACAAAACCACAAGGCGTCTCTCTCTCTCCCCAAAAATCTCTTCTCTGTTATCTTTGCGGCATTCTACCAAGAACCGATTCAAAACGAATACACTGCAGTAACCATATAAATGAAGCGGAAGATCACGAATTTAGGACAGAATACTGGAAGAAGAGTTTGGTTGTACGTAAAAAGAGAGGTGTGGATCTGAAGAAGTCAAAGAAATTGGGAGGTGGGTTTGGTCTTGTTTTGGAAGAGAAGAAGAATTAAGTGTTGGAGGTTTGTCATGGATAAACTCAGTTTCATGAGTGATGAAACTGAGTTTTGGAGGTTTGTCTTGCATGAGTGATGAGGAAAAGGGCAAAAGAAAATTAATAACACTAAAAAAAATCAATGTTCTTGTGTTGGCGTACGCGTGCAGGAGGAGAAAACAGAGCAAACGCAATGGAGAAATAGAGCTCTGTTTTCACAATAGAGACCAGAGCGCTCTTTCTCACCTCTCGTTTGTCTTCATGATGCGCCGATTCTCCGTCACTATAGCTGGGGACGACGAAACCCGAAGAATGGATGAAGAAGGGGCGGGTTCTTCCAGCTTGGAGGAGGAAGAGGAGGCCTTTCAGTGAAGATGAGGCCATGAGTGGAAGATTGAAGACAAGGCCTTGTAGTGAAATCGTATCGTGAACAAGTTTTGAACATTTCTCAACTTTGGTCTTCTTAGCGCGCGATTTGATAAGGATATTTTGATGAGATAATTTTGCCCGAATTTGAGGAATTAGGGTTAGGGTTCTCCCGAAACACATTGAATTTTGCCCCAGTTCCTTAATTTGGGGCAAACAATCTCTAAACACGTCTTTTAGAGGTTTAATTGCTAACTTCATCTTGTAGACAAGCCATGTCAGAGTTTATATACTAAACTATTGTTACCTAAATCGCCAATGTAATTGAAGTGGTCATTTTTTTTTTTTAACAAAAGTGACACTCATGTGATTGT